TTAATAAATACGTAATGCCATCACAGAAACCTGCCACTCGTGTGGTTTTACTTGCGCTATATTACCATGAGTTAAAATCCTTTAATTACAGAAATAATATTATGCTATTGCATACGAGTCTACTTGACTATGATACATTTAGTGTAGTGTTTGTGATGCAGATAAAGACAAGAGTTTTCCAAACAGGATTTCAGTGCGACGCAAGCATAGGAAATCACCATCAAATCGTGTTTAAATTACTCTTGACCATCATATAACTTCCAAAAAGTATTCCCTGTTTTCACATTTCACATAACATGTTCATACCACTTAACGGCAAAGATAACAAAAAATACTCTTATCTTTGTAACTATCAACCTTTGAGTGTTGCACATTTTAGTTTATATTTCTCGATGACACCCAAAATTACCTAGAAAAAAATATATGACATCTTTACAAGTAACTAATTTCGTGGCTTTTACTTGTTTGTTTGTTGTTAAGCGCAAAACTACATAATAGACCATCTGTGCTCTGCCCAACCGCGGACATCGAAACGTAATAAGCTCCCAAATATACCGCCGAGCCACAGAAAGTTTCGTGGCTTTGAGGACAAAGCGTCGTGTCCGAGTTGTACATATAAAGCATCCTTCATGTGGCGTATTAAACTCTTGTCAATGACGTTTAATGGTAGTCCCTGGTAGTCAAGTTTATTAGAAACATTTCTGCAAGAAAACGTTACCTGCTTTGCTTTATGTTTGTCAGGCACTAAATGGTTTATAAAGTATTAGTCTATTGACATTAAATAATATATTATATCTCTGAGGTTTGTGGACAATCAACTAACAGTTATTTTAAAATATAAAATGGATAATGGCGTAGGCAGGAGGGTGGGTGACTCTCTTAAATTGCACCAATTTACCTACAAAATATATTTTATAAAGATGTAAAAACTGCCTCAAATACCATCAAAATGCACTATTTTCAGCGTCCATCACTCATTTCCCTTTCCCTCCAAAAGTAGCATTCCTTTATAGATTTCTGCCTACGCCCCTGTAGTTAATCTTTAAAACAATTTAGAGAGCGGTTTAAGAACATTAATTTCGGAAGAAGACTGTATTTTTAGGGATTCTTCTTGGAATACAGCAAACAGCAAATTTAATATACAAAAATAAAAGCTGGTCTGGCAGAATGGAAGGTGCAGTGGATAATGTTTGCGAAAATATTGAACTGACCATACAAAATATGTATTAATTATGCGAGGAGCGGCTCTTCAGAGCAGAATAATTCTCACGCTGCGTTACTTCCAAGGACGAAACAACAATAAAATTTCATTGCTTTAACGCCGTAGATAGTTACAAAATCTATTACAGCCTTATACGGCGGAAGAAAATGCCTCCTCTTTGTACGTAAGTATAATACGTAGTTAAAATAATCTACCGACAGTATATCTTTATTATCATATGTACTAACCAAAGAACTAAACAGAATTTATGCTTTACTTACGTAGCAATTCGGGTGAAGATAAAGCACATTGACCACACAAGTTAAACAAAGCAAAAACTATATGCGTGTAACGTTTCGGTGAGAAAATCAAAGTGTTGTGTTTGGTCATAATTGGCGATGTTAATAATAGCCTGTGTACTGAAAACGCGTTTTTAATTGACCTCGAGTGCCCTATACAAACATCAGTATGACAAATAAAATAGTGTTAAAAATTCTTAAAACTTGCTTGATTCGAAACATGTTCAGTGGCTCAAATTAAACTACAAATTTAAATAGATTGTCTCTTCGAATCGGATTACATTCCATGACCTATTAGAAGCTGATTTTTTGTAGAAGAGGGAATTTATATCATTACCAAGATAAAAATATTAGCACAATCACCACTAAAATACACTAAATACACTAAAATGCAAAGAAAAGTAATGGAGATGATATACATATGTATATATATATATATATATATATATATATATACTTACTACTTAACAGACGAAATAATTAAAACTTTGGCACACTTTTATTCGAGGGTAAACTTGAAGTTCATTATGAATAACACCAAACATGCTCGCCCTTTCAGCCGTGGGGGCGTTATAATGTTACGGTCAATCCCACTATCCATTGGCAAAAGAGTAGCCCAAGAGTTGGCGGTGGTGGTGATGACTAACTGTTTTCCCTCTAGTCTTACACTACTACATTAGGGACGGCTAGCGCAGATAGCCCTCGTGTAGCTTTGCGCGAAATCCAGAACAAACAAACAACCATTATGAATAATAAACATTCACACACATCTGTGTTTTTCAAAATAAGTTTTTGAAAGAATATTCATAGACCATTCATAGAAAAACAAATTATAATTTAATAATTAAAATATATTCAAATGGCAAAAGTTCGTTATAAAAATATTTATAAAATATTTGAGACATATTAAAGTGTATTTAACGAACCAAAGTAATTTTATTTTATTTTTGCACAAAAGCTACTTTTACATGAGTTTGCCATACAAAACAGCAGTAGGTGGATTCTGAGGGTTTACAGTTATCACTGATATTCAAAATGCACAGATTATTAAATTATTTCCTCCCAATATCAAAGAAGAATAACTTCTAAAACTAAACATTTTCATTGGAGCATGTTTGATGCTAGTTGTAAAAATATAGTGTTTAATGGCATGTTTAGTTTAATTAAAGAGTATTTCGCCTCCCCACCCCCCAAACAAGATACTTTAATCTGCTTAATACAAGAGTTCTACTACAGTGTAATTAAGATATCAAATTGGTAATACAAAAACAAGATCACTTCCCCTGATGATGGTTAAAATTTTAACTAATGGTTGAATATTCGTGAAAAATATGTGGAGGGATTTTGATGAACGAGCAGCTAGATGCGTTAATTCGTTAATATGAGGTTTTTTTTTTTTTTGGTTTTGATGCTCTTTGATAAAAATGTTAAGAACCCTATTTGTTATGTGGTATCACACACCTTTGCAGAGTTTATTGAGTTTGGTTTGAAATGAATTTCGCGCAAAGCTTCACGAGGGCTATCTGCGCTAGCCGCCCCTAATTTTGCAGTGTAAGACAAGAGGGAAGGCAGCTAGTCATCACCACCCACAGCCAACTCTTGGGCTACTATTTTACCAACGAATAATGGGATTGACCGTCACATTATAACGCCCCACGGCTGAAAGGGCGAGCATGTTCGGTGTGACGGGGATTCAAACCCGTGACCCTCAGATTGAGAGTCGAGCGTCCTAACCACCTGGCCATGCCAGGCCTCAGCAGATAATACACTGATAACCTTGATGCTGTATCAACACTTTAAAATCAAACACTATATTTTTTAAAAAGAAAAAACATATCTAGGCCATTCACTGTAGTATAAAAGTTTTATAAAAACAATACATCTTCTAAAATAGCAAAACAGGTAAATCTGAGATTAAAGGTGAAAACAAATTTTTATCTGGAAATGAAGAATAAAATATCAATTTCAAGATTTAGGAAAATGTCCTTTATTTAGGTAAAGTAATGTGTAAAATCCCATAAAGCACCTATCATCTTAGTAGATTTAGGGAAATGTCCTTTATTTTGGTCTTGGTAAAGAGAGAGCATGAATACTGTTTAAATGGGCTGCATGCTTGTTGTTTCTTTGATGTTAAACGTTGGTGGTATGAAAAACTGTAAACTGTGGGGATGATAGGTGCTTTATGGGATTTTACACATTACTCTACCTAAATAAAGGACATTTCCCTAAATCTTGAAAGATGATAGGTGCTTTTTGGGATTTTACACATTACTCTACCTAAATAAAGGACATTTCCCTAAATCCTGTAAGATGATAGATGCTATTTGGGATTTTACACATCACATAACCTTTTCCACAACCCAGAATCGTTAATTGTATGGTCATATGAAAACATAAACAAAACGTCTCACCTATAAGCGAATAAACCTTGAAACGTGAACCTCTTACAATCTTAGTTAATCTACAGCTTTATATCTTTTTGCATCGAGGATGTAACATGAATAACAATAAAGATGGTTCTTCAGAATCGCTTGCATTTTCTTACATACCGTATCAGCTCATAGACGTCAGAATTACATACTGTATATTTTCCTAACATCACCCTTCATTATCCATATTGTTATATGTGTTAAACAGAAAACAATAGATTTACGCACAACGACAGTTGTTGTGAGGGTTAAAGCATCAGATCATTTTAGTCCACATTAATATTTAAGCCCCTAAACAATAATCTACAGGCCTCATATCTGCTGCCTACGAAATCTATGTCCTAGCTTACCGTTATATTCTGCATCATGAATTCCTTGTTGAAAGTTGAGTTCTTCGCGTTTATCGTAAGTACTTAATATTCTTTTGAATTATATGTTTTAAATAATACGTGGAGGTATTGGTGTGAAGTATGACAAACGACGTACGATCTCAAAAACAACACATGTCGACATATGGAGAAGAAACTATCAACAGTGTATTCTAGTCATTATTGGCTGAGTTTTATTGCCAATTAATTTACTACGTTATCAATTTGTTATATAGAATTGGATTGATATATTATATGCTATATTTAATTTCTGCTTTATGCACTTAGCGTACGATACCTTTGATAAGAAGTTATTAACAATAAACGCCAACATTTTGATGAGCATGTGAGACATCAGAGACAGTAACGACTGGTTGAAACAGCTACTGTTCTTGTGACAAAGGAAGACAGACTCCTGCAGAGCACCGCAGATCTAATGTACAAACTTTATTGTCAAATTAAAACGGTATTGTACATGTTTACATTCCAATTTTTTTAAATTCTGTTTCAAGTTTCTGGTGGAATATTACAACATTACATAAAACATCTAGCATTGTTTATTCTAGTAGAAAGTTATATAACGACGTCATTTCAAAATTTCTAATTATCACTCTGTGATAACCATAGGTATATATATATATATTATTAGAAATATCTAACAAAGCATTCACCTTATTTGTAGAATTGGTAGCAAATCTCATACCTGAAAGCTGCCGAAACAGCTACCACCAGGAAGCGTGACATAGCACACATAGGGAGGACTGGATGATGGCACAGATTCATATATAACGAGGGCTCCGTTCTTCAAGTCCGCCCCTCGAGCTAGTTTCATCTGCCAAAATTCCTGCAAGGCTTCTACCACATTCACTGAAAGAACAATATCATTCTCAGAAAACAAATCGGAGTAGAAAGCATGTTTATGTTGGAGCAGAGGAAAGTAATCCCTGCAATCAAACTAATATAAACTAAGTTTCCCAGTAAAACCTTAGTCGGTCACTTCCATAGAAAAAAAAAAAACACAACTAAAACTTATACATCGCAATCAGTTTTGCTGTGATTTTAACTGTCATTCTCCAGTAATTTAAGTCTTGTAGAGTGAGTAGCTGAGAAAAGTTTTAACGATTATTATTCCGAATATTTTGGATAATATAGATGCCTTTTGATTGCTATAAAACAGTATGAGTAACAACAACAAGTCCAGTGTTTGGAAAATTGATAATAATGGAATTCATGGACTCAAAAGTGGGGTTTCTCGCCTCAAGAAGTCGTAAGTTTTACACTAAACTTAAGATTTCTTGATGACAGAGAGGGTGTGACCGGAAGTGGTGTCGTGGACTGTAACGAACTGATGACACTCCAAAATTGTTTTAAAATAACTTACTCAAATTCTGCATACCAAAACGATTTTTGATAAAGAAATACAAGTATAGCAATTCAGCAATTATATATATATATATATATTAAAAAGATCAACTAAAATGAATATTCCCGTGTTACCTCTAAAGTCTCAAGCGTGAATCAATGCTTGAAAAAAGTGTGTTAGAGTCATTAGAAAGTACCTTACTACCAACTCACTGAAACTACTGTTCTTCTATTATTAAAAATAAGGTCCCACAAAAAGAACTGAAGCTACCACAAAATATGAAACACATTGAGTTTATGCATAGCCTAAATAATACAATAAAATGAACACAAAATGGACAGTAATTAAAATGATGCAGTAACATAAGAGTTAATTGTTTTATAGTACCCAGTTTTTCTTTTACCAGCACCTAATCAGATATCGGATCTTTTAAGACCTGTCAAGAAAGGGGCACGAACAAGAAAGTCCCTTGTTTTACGATAACTAAGAAGTAGTCCAACCCAACGAAACTCCATAAAGTCAACAGGTGAGGACAATAAATAAAGCTGGCACAGCAGGTCTCAGCAACACCGGTGAATTGCGTTACAACGGACATTGGACTTTTATGACAGCAAGGCTCATTTTGTAGATCTAAATGGCTTTAATAAGAATGGTTGGTTGGGAAACAATTACCTCACTTGTCCCCCTGTTGGCATCTTGTTATTGTTGGGGACCGTCATAGAAAGTAAATCAGGACTATTGAAAACAAAAATATTCAACGTATGTAAAATAAATGCGAAATAAAGTTTACGAATCAAGTATAGTAACCATACACGTATGTAGTAAGCGAGAGGAAATGTAAGTTTTATCCTATCAGTATATATACTATTTATATTGAATTGAAATATAACACATTTCCAGACAGGGTAATATGACGAATGAACTAAAAAATACATAATTAGTGACTCGTTAATAATTAAGCCTAGATTATCGTATACCATGCTTACTGTCATTGACAATGACTACAAACATATTTCTATATCTGCCATAGTAATGTTGACTTCTATCTGTAGGACAGTAACTTGGATCCTAAAGCTACATAGAAGTCCAAATTAAGTCATTGTGGCATATTTCATCTTCTAAGACATTGAAATCGTAACTTGGATAAGGATACTATTACCATTGTCTTAAATAATATACCAGTAATACATGATAAAATTGTTTCGTGGTAATCTGTTGAATTACTTGAAACTTAGGAATATTCAACTTCCTTGAAGAAGATGTGACTGATTCAAACCGCAAAAAGATCGAACAACGTTTAGTTCAATTGTGCCTTAGTTCTTTAAACAAGAACAAGAAAAATAATTGAGTGTACAACAACTAAATTTAAGAAACATGAAGGGAAGATATTACAAAACAATAACAACTGTAGAACTCTGAAAAACAAAAACAATGTCCACTTTTTCAAAGTACAGCTGTAGTATTTCAAACATAGCCGTTATCGAAGTGAAGAAATCGTCCTAAAAATAATAGCTCATTTTAAGTATTCAGACAGTTCAGCTTGTTTTTTTCCTTCCTGCATAGACCATTTTCATTGGACAATAAAAAAATGCATGCTGTCTTTCTTGAAGAGACGTATGAATTGGTAAATGTTATGTTGTAATCTCTGATTGTGACTATCACCAGTGTGAGAATGTTGAAATTTATTGTTAGTTTTAACCAACTCATTAATTAGGCATGTGAACCATGTTTTAGCAGAATCGGGCAGCGTGTTGGTAGCCCAAAGAAAACCCAGGAAATTCATGTTTGCGTTCGAAACAGCAAACCTGCCCATGTAAACTAGAGTGACAGAGAGCGCTCCGGCTAGGGCGTGACGGGTGTGTGTGTGTGTTACCCTCCAACTACTAAACTATCAATACTGCCTCCTCTCATTGTCTCAGGGCAGTGACACAACTTGAATCGACCAAGTCTGTTTGATATTTTTGGAATCTTCAGTCCGAATACTAAAATACTATAACAATTTAAGCGTAACGCAGTCATTTACAAACGATGTTTATGTATTCTAGTTATTTCAATGTGAATTACCACAAATAAATTAAAATCTCAGCCAAAAAACTTCCACCCAGTCTCTATCAAATACCAAAAGAAGTATTAATATGATGAAACAAAACAAGAATTATCAATTAGTATTATCTTCCAAATGCAATAAAGTATCAGTCGTGACTAACCAAAATCCCTGACTACCTCAGCTATCATTAAGCTTGTGTTTGAAATATTTTCTCATAATAGGATAAAGATGAGTTCATTAACACGCACAAAAAAAAACCTAGTTTG